TCCCTAGGTTGGATTATTATCTTATAATAATTTCCAGTGCTGATTTTTTGAAAAATATTCACAGGGTGTGGATGCTACTAGTGGGAAATTCACCCTTGCGATGGAACCACTGCAGTCCATGTTGACAATGTACTCCAATAACACTAATGGTTTTTTAATCCAAGAATGACTTGCCGGGACATTTAACAGGCCAGTTAACTTTATGGCTGTGTGGGGCTACAGTCACATGTAGAACAAACTGCGCAATGAGTGCACGGTTCCTTCAATAGAAAGGTCAATAATAAACCAATTGGGTTTTTTCATAGCCACCATCGCTAAATAGTCTGTGACAAGAAACAACCTGCATTTATATGCCTTGCATGACCTGAGGATATCGTAAAGAGCTATACAAAAGTAATGAGATTCTTTCAAACATCTGTCAATGTCTTGGTGTTGGTAGTAGCTGCAAGTCATTTGCAAACAGCAAAGCTCCCACAGACAAGAAAAGTGACCAGTGAATCCATTTAGTTGCATGTATAAATGATCCTCACTCCATTAACTGCACCAATAAGGACGTTTCTCTGTTCATTTTTGGGTTTTATCCTTTCCCCATCCAAGTGTGAAATTGAAAACTGTGACAATTAGTTGTTACTTTTCTCACAGGCTGTGCCAAGCAGAGTGAAATGTGCAATAGTGCCAGCTCTACACAGGCCACTGGATGAAGCCATACATTAGGGTGCCAGGTATATCTGATAGCAGCTCTTTACAAGGGTGATAGGTGTTTTGTAGTTGTTGTCATCTACCTAAAAAAAGTAGCTTTCAAAGTATTTGTGAAGAGGACCCCTATAACTTCAGACATACACCAGAATGGGGGACGTAGTGACACAGGGCTAATGATCCAGAATCCCAGCCTAATGTTTTGGGGACATGGGTGCAAATCTCACTGTGAACTTTGAATTACACAAGAATCTAAAGTTTCTTTTATATAAAGTTAGCGTGCTGGCAATCATGTAACTATTGTTGATTGTCATTAAAAACCCATTAGGTAGTTCCCTAATTTCCTTTAGGGAAGCAAATCTGCTATCTTTAACTGATATAGCCTACAGTACATGGCCATTGGGCAGTATCGTGGCTCAGTGGTTAGCACTGCTGCCTAAGTGCCAGGGACTGGGTTGAATTCCAGCCTTGGGTGACTGTCTGTGTGGAGTTTGCACATTCTCTTGGTGCTCCAGTTTCCTCCCACATTCCAAAGATATGCAGGTTAGGTGGATTGGATCATGGAAAGTGTTGGGTTACAAGGATAGGGTACGGGAGGTGGGTCTGGGTGGGATGTTTTCAAAGGGTCAGCATGGACTTGATGGGCCAAATGGCTTGCTTCCACACTGTAGGGATTCTATGATACATGTGACCCACGGGAAATGTGGTTAACTAGGAACTGCCCTCTGGGCAATTAAGGATGAAGAATAAATGCTGGCCTGGCCAGTGACACACACTTTGCATAAATGAATTTAAAAAAGGGCCCCTGAGAAAATACACAGGTGCTCTCTCAAGAACACAAGAAGAACATAAGAAATTGGAGCAGGAGTAGGCCATCTGGCCAGCTCCGCTGTTCCAGAAGATCATGGCTGATCTTTTGAGCCCCACTTGCGCGCCTGCTCACTATAACCTTTAGTTCCTTTGCTGATCAAAGATCTATCATCTTTGATTACAAACATTCCCAACCAAAGAGGCAATTTTGAAGCATAGTCACTGTTTTGGGCACTTAAAGACACTCATTAAACAGCCCTGGATGATGGACCCTATTCTTTAACAAGCCTTTAAGGAGACGGAGCAACAATACAACATCAGAATATAAGACTTTTGCCACTCCTCCAAATCCACGTGTCACAGCAACATTTTTAAAGACATATAAATACCAGAAACAAGTGGAGGAAATGCATAGCAGTGCTTCACACTGCAGTGAATGTAAGCAGCCCAAATATGCCTCAGAGCTCAGGTTCAACAATATTTAGAGAGAAGGAAGTCCTTATTTTCTATTGTTGCAGAAACTCCCCAAGACAGTGACACTGCCCTATTCATTACTGGTTTCTCAATGTCAGCCACACCATGAACGAGACTGAACAGAAACAGACAGAACACAAGAATGAAGTCAGTAAAGTGTGAATTGACTCAAGACAAGATGTACCAGAAGCTGATTTAACACAAAAACAGATTAAAATGTAAAAGCAGGGACTGTTGGCATTCTGAGTCAGGGAACAGTAGATACTACAAAGGATAGGTTACTCAAAGAATGAAAGAAGAAACAAACTAATACTTTCTTGTCCACTTTGGTCACTGTGTTTCTATTGAAATGAGAGGGTTACAATAGCTGAAAGTTGAATGCTTTAATCACTTCGAAAGCCAGAATGAAACATTAAATTTCAGTCATTCCCAACTTTTAGTAAATCATACTGTAAAACTGTGATAATACCAGTTCAAACATTAATATCAATCATTGCTACTGCTGCAACTAGGCGTCATTGTTAGAGTACAGAATCCTCTCAGGAATAAGTACTTGTTGTGAGTGGAAACTGGTGTGAAAGTTGCCTGTATAGATAGGGAAGTGAACAAGCTTTAAGAGTCACTGCCTGTGCGGTGTTTTGAGGTCTTCCTTTTAAGACAGAGATGAGGAGAAAGTTTTCCACTCACAGGACCATTAGTCTGCACAATTCTCTTCTCCAGAGACTACTGGAAGGTACATTGTTGAATCGGTTCAAGACTAGGTTGGATAAATTTTAGATGGACAATGACGTTGAGTGGTGAACAGGAAAAGGAAGTTGAGATCACAGTCAGATCAATCATGATCTAACTGAATAGCAGAGCAGGCTTGAAGGGCTAAATGGGGTACTGTTGCTCCAACTCCCATGTTCCAGTGATCCTGGGGCAATAAAAGGCATTGCGTGAATGCAAGGCTTCCTTAGTGGATGGTGGATAACACCGAGTAGATATTGGTTATTGAACCAGGACTGGTGACTGGCAGTTACAATAAGCTATAGGAAATCCATGCCTTTGGTAGATGACAAATTTCCCAGGCTCCTTTGTATTGACAGCAGTCATTAGGGTCAAAGTTGTTATATGTCCATTCTTGCTACAATTGCTTTGACTGCAACTTAATATCATGCCATTTGTGTTTGCAACAAAAATGCATCACGCCACAGTTAATCTTAATACTGTGATATGTCGCATCAATTACCATTGGTAATGATTTGTTCCCCGACAAGGTCATTGCTTTAGATATAAGACAAACATACCCACAAGCAATTTTAGTGTGTACAGGTGCATACTGTGGCCACATAAAGTAGATGAAAAAATGCCCCTGCCTATGGCAGAATTACCATTTCCTGCTTCATAATCACCATTGCCTTGACATGCACACCTTAAAACCTCTTAATACTTTATCTAGTGTTTAGCAAATGAGAATTAGAATCTTCAACACATTACAGCAGAATAGGTTTGGACTTTTCTGACAGGATAAATAACCATTAAAAGATGCATTTTACCCAATGAGAAACCTGTTTCATAGATTTTAACCAGTGATACAGCCTGACTTTGTTAATTCAATAGATTTTCCACTATTCAATTATGATCACTTTATAATTTGAATCAAGCATTGTAAATAAGCCAGCTAATTGAAAATTCATGCTTTAAAAATTGATAACTTGAATTAAACAACTTAAAAGGGTCATATTACGTGTCAGCAAGTAATCAAAAGAGCAATTATTATTCTTCTCCTTTGGGCTATTTCATCAGTGGTATTCAAATTCATGTCTATACAGTGACCACAGCTTAAAGACAGACTTTAGACGATTTAGCCACAAGATCTTTGAGCAATGGATCTATCTACTGAAATAAGTTTGTGTCTCAATTATGATCACTGTAACGGGACTGTGTCAGACAGAGCATGGAACTCTTTATCCTGGATTATCTCCACACGTGTAAAAGTGCCGGTCCTGGAGATAAATATATCACTCAATATAATAAAGAACACTACTGCCCAAGAAATGTCTATCAGAAAAGTGACTGTACAGCTGCTTAACTTGCTTTTGTCTTCTGATCTCTCCCACTCTTGTAACGACAAATGCTTTTTAGATTGTGTCTGACTGACCTTAATTGCTATCACAGTATTTAAGTGGGCCATGTAGTTGGGTTAAGATTTGACGAGCAGATTCATCAGGAGTATACATACAACAACTGAAGAATTAATACAAAAGTACGGGCTGTTTTAAAACTGTTGCGTAGAGTTAACATTTATAGTTCTCCTATGAATACTGTAAAAGAGCAATTGGAACTGGCCAGGACTAGGTTAGAGGCACTGACTGTATAAACACTAAATGGTTTCACTTGAACATACTAGGTTTCTGTGTAAACTTGGGCTTGGGGATGGTGGCATTCTCTGCTTTAAATATGCTTCTAACATAGTCAACATTTAAACAGAGTTGAACAGGTGTTTGACCCAGACATAGGCTTTGGATTCACACCCAACTGTCCGACATGCACCAATCTTTACAGTACTAAGTCAAAGATTATGGACCACCTTAAACTTCATTGGAGTCTGCATTCATGGAGGTATAACAGGGATGGTGTTTAAATTTATCAAACTGTGGGTTTAAGTCTCCTTCAACTCTCCCCTTAAAGCAGTTCAGGTACGGGATGCAAATCCATCTGCTTTCTTAGGGTTTTTACAAGCTCTTTCCCCAGCCCAGGTGTGCATTGTGTAAAGGCTGCCAATTCTGACCAGCTGCACTCCTGAAGATTTCCATTTGACACATCTCCACTGCCTCACCTTGCAAAGCAGCTCCCATATCCCCAAATACAACCCCCATGTCCAACATCCCTGGGGGGAAAAAAAGAGATCAGACAGTCAAAGAAAATGATAGTTTTTAAATCCTCCTAAATTTATCCCAGCAATCCTGCAGAGGGCTGGCAACTCTACCTGTGTCTATGTGAGTGTATGTGACTGAGTGAGTGTGTGTTTTACTCACCAACACAAGGGAGAATCTCTCCTCCAGCTCGTCCTCGTTAACCGGCATGGGCTGTTTGGGAACAGTCGCCTGCGGGCACCTGATTTCTTTCCCCGGGGACATATCCATACCCCCGGCTGCATTCCCCATCCTGGAGCCGGCAAAATGTTTCAACACGTTGAACTTCACACTATCCAGGATTGAGCACCGGTGACAGTCCGTGTTATTTTTTCAAAAAAAAAGCAAAAATGAGAGAGAAGGGGCTAGAGAGAGAAATAAAAATCACACGAAAAGCAAAAGCGACACGCTCACCCTACAGACCAAAAAGAAAATCCTTTAAGAAAGAGACAGTCTCCACTTTCTGCTCTCCAGCCCTGTGATCCCGTATTATCTCCCAGCCAGTAAAATCCATTGCTTGGTCTTCACATCTGCTGGAGAAGTCACAAGCGGCAGCATCAGTTTGATGGCTTTAGAGTGTTCCTCCTTATCCACAGGAAGGAGAAATGGCAGTGTGTATTCTGTCTTACACACACACACACAGACAGAGAAAAGGGGAGAGAGAGAGAGAGAGGAAGTCAGGCTCACAATGAAGCAGCAAGCAGCACAGTTACTAAAAGCACCAGCGACAGATTGGGGTTTCCTGTTCTGCACTGACTCTCTCGCTCTCTCTCTCGCTCTCGATCCTGCTGCTGTTGCATTCAGCTTGTGCCCTGGATTGCAGACACCTTGCGCGTTGAAGGGGGTGTGGAGGCTGGTCAAGGTCTCTAGTCTATTTTGCACATTGCAAACCCCCAGTCAAGGCACTATGCGGATCGCTCCTGCATTTAAACGCCCCGTCCCAGACTATGCAGGCTGATCGGCTGCACTGGGCTGCACCCACTGATTTTAAAGCAGGATCCCTGGTGAGGGGTAGAGTGGTTTCTGTCTATTGCCCCCACCCCCAATCTTTCTCCCCACCCCACCCAGCCGCAGTTTGCAAACTCCTGGTGGTCTCTCCCTGCAAAGCTTGTCCCCGGGGTTGCAGTTGGGTTGCACTCAGGCTGGGCACTAGGACCTCTCGGTACCGCTGTACCCATTGCCCAGGAGCTGCCAGTCTCAGCAACATTGGTGCTGGAGGCAAGAGCGTCCGCATGGTCCTAGCGCCCTCTCTATTGTTCCTGGCTCCCGTTAGAAATGGCTGTTATTTGTGGCTGGGACGTTCATTATGGCTCGAGATTCCTGCACCACGCGAGGGTACACAGCTTCCTTATCTTTCAACCTCCGCTGGAAAACTTTTCCCTGTGAGACCAAAGGCTGTTGGAGCAAATGCCACTCAACATTGCCCAGACTGCAACAGAGCACTTTTGCTTGCCCATTGATAGGTTGCTGTTGGCAAGATCTTGTGTGGTAATTGGCTGTTGTGTTTCCTTCATTACAACAGCCTACCCTTCAAAAATATTTAATTGGCTGTAAAATTATTCTGAGATGCCCTTAAATTGGTGAAAGATGTTATATCAGTGCAGGATCAGATACAGTTTCTATACGCTAACCATGACTGGCCATTTTTTCGTAAATAAACAGCTCTTGACATCCGGGCTGTATTTGACTCATTGTAGCATTAAGGAGTCCTAGCTAAGGTAAAGTCAATGGGAAACAGGGGAAAACTCACAGCTGGATGGATTCATACTGGCACAAAGGGAAAATGATTGTTGCTGTTGCCCCAGGCTTGCCAGTGGAATGTGGGTTGTTGGAAGTCAGTCATCTCAGCTCCAGGATATCTCTGCAGGAGTTCCTCAGGGTAGTATCCTAAGCCCAACTATCTTCAGCTGCTTCATCAATGATTTTCCCTCCATCATAAGGTCAGAAGTGCGGATGTTTGCCAACGATTGCACACTGTTCAGCACCATTCACAAATCCTCAGATACTGAAGCAGATATGTTCAAAGATCTGGACAATATCCAGGCTTGGGCTGACAAGTGGTTAGTAGCATTTGCACCACGCAAAGGCCAGGCAATGACAATGCAACAAAAGAGAATCTATCCACTGTCCTTTCAACATTCTATGACAATACAATCAGTCAATCCCTCACTATCAACATCCTGGGTTACCATTGACCAGAGAGTCAACTGGACTAGCCACATAAACACAATAGCTACTACAGCAGCTCAGAGGCTAGGAATCCTGCAGTGAGTAACTCACCTCCCAACTCTACAATGCCTGTCTACAAGGTACAAATAAGGACTATGATGGAATACTCCTCACTTACTTGGATGAGTGCAGGTCCTATAACACTCGAGAAGCTTTGCACCATCCAGGACAAAGCAGCCACTTGATTGTCACCATGATCACAAACACTCAGTCCTTCCACTACCCCCTTCCCATTCTCAGTAGCAGCAGCGTATAACATCTACAAGATGCACTCCAGAATTCACAAATTTCCCATCAGCACTTTCCAAATCCATGACCACTTCTATCTCAAAGGACACAGGCAGTAGGTGCATGGGAAAACCACCACCTGCAAGGTCCTCTCCAACCCATTCACTCTCCTGACTTGGAAATATATTGATGTTCCATCACTGTCGCTGGGTCAAAATCGTGGAACTCCCTCCCCAATGCGTTTGTGGTTTTGCCTACACCAAATGGATTGCACCAATTCAAGAAGGCAGCTCAACATCTTCTTGTCTAGGGCAGCTAGGGATAGGCAATAAATGTTGGCAACACTCACATTCCCTGAATAAACAAAATACAAATCTCAAACATACCAGTAAAAGTAACCATAAAGATCTTGGATTGTTTTATGATCCTGATTGTTCCCTGATTTCCTTTGATAACAGAACTGTGGCCTAAATCTTACTTCAGTGTCACATGAATGTGATTGACTCTGAATTACTCTGTAAGGTTTCAGGCTGGAAATTGGGATGAGCCAGATTGGCTCTTGTTGGTTGGCACAGACACCATGGGCTTGATGCTTCCATGCTGTAAATCTCTTTGTTGGAATGTAACCAGGTCTTTAGAGTCAGATGTGGAGTTTGGGCAGTGAATGAAGTCATAGTGTCATAAAGATGTACAGCATAGAAACAGACCCTTCAGTCCAACTCATCCACTTCGACCAGATGTCCTAAATTAATCTAGTCCCATTTGCCAGCATTAGGCCCACATCCCCATGAATCCTTCCTATTCATGTACCCATCCAGATGCCTTTTAAATTTTGTAATTCTACCAGCCTCCACCATGTGCTCTGGCAGCTTATTCCATACACGCACCACCCTCTGCATGAAAAAGTTGCCCCCTATGTCCCTTTTAAATCTTTCCTTTTTCACTGTAAACCTATGGTCTCTAGTTTTGGACTCCCCCATTGCAGGAAAAGACCTTGTCTATTTACCCTATCCCTGACCCTCATGATTTTATAAACCTCCATAAGGTCACCCCTTAGCCTCCAAAGCTCCAGGAAAAATAACCCCAGCCAATTCAGCTTCTCCCTATAGCTCAAACCCTCCGACCCTGGCAACATCCTTGTAAATCTTTTCTGCACACTTTCAAGTTTAACAATATCTTTCCTTTAGCACAAGAGACCAGAGTTGAAAGTCAGAAAGAACTACTTTGTGCTGGTTTTCTGCGAGCTTCCCAGCTCCTCCCAAGGGAAGATCTGAGCAGAGACTGCAACCCCAGCCAAATAGTGGCAAATATCTAATAAATCTTTGTTGAGTGGGCAATTAGAAACAGAGTTCCATTGACAATTCAATATTGAAAGCATCGCACTGGCCCTACACTATGTCAAAAACTCAGCCATTCCGAGAAGGTGCCTGTGGAAGAGGAGGTTGGAGAGGAATGAAAAGAAGATGTGACCTGTTTGCAAGGAGCAAGCTTGTGGAGGTAGAGGTGTACCATTACACAGGCATTGGCCAAATCCAGTGTGCAGAGATGGCTGCTGGTTCCCTCAGCCTTTTCACCTGGCTCTCCGTTCTAACCTTTAGCCTCAATGATATACTGCTAAGGTCCACCACATTGAAGGCCAGTAGCTCCCAGACCAGATCTCCTTCATCTTCCATCTTCCTGCCACCTCCAACTGGATACCAAACATGGAGCAGATTAGACAACTAATCCCCTTCCAGAGAGTTAACCTGCGAGATGCACTGCACTACAGGCGGGTTACACATAGAAATGGTCCAGAAAGGCAAAGTCTTCAATGAAAATTCAGCCCTATGATTCTGCTGTAGCGTAGCAAGCTACTGAATGGTATCAATCTGCCACTTTAAGACAACCAGTGAACTGCAACATATGTTAGCCTTTCCAGTGTTATCAAACATTCATTTCAAAAACTCCTACTCTTAAAAAATCAATAAAGGTGATACGAGGACACCGCACTGTCACTAGTCAAGCAACATGTCTACAAGCTAAATAAAAACCACAAGATCTGCAGATGCTGGAAATCAGAAACAATAACAGAAGTTTCTGGAAAAGCTCAGCAGGTCTGGCAGCATCTGTGAAAAGAAATCAAAGTTAATGTTTCGCATCCAGTCACCCTTTCTCAGAACTGAAATCTTAACTCTGATTTCTCTCCACAGATGCTGCCAGACCTGCTGAGCTTTTCCAGCAATTTCTGTTTTATGTCTATAAGCTCCCCTTCACCTGACAAGTCACTAACAAAGTAACTTAAAAGGACACTCATTACAATAACAGAAACTTGCAGTGATAAATCAAAATATTATTATCTGTGTCTAAAACAGATTTTGTATTATGTGGTGCCTACTGTCTATAAAAAGATCCAAATATATGCTGGATACTACATGGTCCCTCTTCAGGGCCAGATTGAATTGTCATAGAATCCCTACACTGTGGAAACAGGCCCTTCGGCCCAACAAGTCCACACCGACCCTCAGAGCATCCCACCCAGACCCATTCGCCTGTAACCCATCTAGTCTACACATCACTGAACACTGTGGGCAATTTAGCATAGCCAATCCACCTAGCCTGCACATCTTTGGACTGTGGGAGGAAACCGGAGCACCCGGAGGAAAGCCATGCAGACACGGGGAGAATGTGCAAACTCCACACAGACAGTCGCCCGAGGGTGGAATCGAACCCGGGTTCCTGGCGCTGTTGTTGTGCTTCAGGGCTCCCATCAATTTTCACTCGATTACAAACCATTGCACAGAAGCTGCTTCAAAATGAGTGGGAAGTTCAATATTGAGGGTTAACAGTTTGTATTTCTTCCAAATCATAATTTGTAAGGTATACCAATGGGAAAGACATGGATGGATATGGACCAAATCCAGGCAAATGGGACTAGATTAATCGTGAAAACTGGGATGGGCAAATTGAGCTGAAGGGCCTATTTCCATGTTGTAAATCTCTATGACTATGACTGAATGTAAATCTTCCTAAAGAGCAACTTTCCTATTAATCTCCAAATTGCTATCCTCTTTTCAGAATCATTTGAACCTCCCCCAGTCAAGGGCTCCCTCTTCCCACTCCGCACAATCCTGCCTCCATTGCCCTTAGATTCCAGCTCTTTGGCTTCTCCAGGTGACAGTGCAGGCAGTGAAGGCAAAGGTAACTCCCATGAACCCAGTGAGGGAAAATATACAATGGGAACAATGAAATTAACATGCTAATCCTTTTAAAGTGAACAAACAATCA